ACCTAACCCTAACCCTAACCCTAACCCTAACCCTAACCCTAACCCTAACCCTAACCCTAACCCTAACCCTAACCCTAACCCTAACCCTAACCCTAACCCTAACCCTAATGAATGCGCAAATGCAAGTACGGAACAAATTGAGTCCCAGGATGTCTGTATTATTTGTCTCTAACGTATGACGTCTTTCTTCAAAGATAGCCTTGTCATTGGCCCCCTAACGAGCCGTTGGTGGTCGACATCAGCTTTGTCTGCAAACCAGGGCTACCAGCCAAAGCGATTGCCGTGTGGACATGTGTTTCATCATGGCTGTTTAGTGGAATGGGTTCGGAGACAACCAACATGCCCAACATGTAGGCAGGCTGTACAATAAACAGAAGCCAGAAAAATCATGTGTCTGTGGGTAGGATCTGAAAACGTGAGGCCAAATTCAGCGCATTGGATTGTCAAACAGATATGAAGGGCTTGTGATTGGCCGTCCCTAGCGATGATGATCTTGTAGCCTACCGTAGTCAGCCTCTGGAGATATGCCTCACTCGCTCCAGGCTTTTACAAGCCATGAGAAGAGTTCCATCTGAGGGTACAGTACCAGAACACTGGACACCAAAGGAATGAACGCAGTGCTGTGCAACGAGAAGACGAGGATTCCGCAACCAACACAGACAGAGCTTTACTCTTATCTCCTGAAGGCAAATTGGTATCAGGATTTGGGATGGGTCCCTTGTAACGAGAAACAGCGTATCCTATTTCCCTGAGGAGCGTTTGCCTGAGGCGTCATTCTGATTTCAAGTCCCATATAACAAATCTGGGAAAATTATTGCTTGGCGAGTGATTTGTGCCTGAGCGACTTGTGCGTGAAATGACGACGAACGGCGCCAATCTGAAAGAGCCCAGCGAATCCGAACCCCAGTTTTGCACAGCCCCTCCCATTTTGAACTTTGATTGACCCTGGTCACGCCGCACAAAACCCTCAAGCGCCGACCGGTCGCTCTTTACTTAGTAACATTTTTTCGAGGCGATTCTGATTGTTGTGTCGCCTTGGGCATATTTCACAAATAACTAACCAGCACCTACTTTCCAATAGTCATATTACAACAAAACATGAAATAGTCTTTTGAACTTTCACACATCAAAATGTTGCCCATTCCACTTTTTTCAGCCTGTCTGCTTCTGGCGTGGACTGGAGCAGCATCTGCTGCTCTACGCAGATTTAACTTTACGATCCACACGGGATCAAATGCGCCAGGTAATACCTTCCTGAGGTCTCTAAGGGTACCAACAAACACTGAGACCTGGAACAGATGGCTTTACTCGACAAGTTTACCTCATCAACGGACAACAGCCTGCTCCCCTTATCGACATTAATGAGGGAGATGATTTAGAGGTCTTTGTACAAAATGATCTGCCAGTAGCAAGCACGATCCATTGGCATGGTGAGTATCCCATAACGCAATCTGAGGAGTCCCTCTGGCTTGAAATCATCCTTCCAACCGCCATGAAAGCTGACATACGATATAGGCCTACTCCAGCGTGGCACACCCCAGATGGATGGTGTTCCAGGTGTTTCGCAAGTTAGTTTGAGCTCCTATAACCGTCAGAAATAATCGCTGACTACGACTTGCAGTATCCCATTCCGCCTGGAGGAAACTTTACTTACAAGTTCAGCACCGGGACTGAGTACGGGTTTTATTGGTATCACTCCCACTTCCGCGCCTACTACGACGACGCAATCCGTGGTCCGCTATTGATTCGTCCTTCTTCGTTACGTCGTCGCCCGTTCGAGAGTCTAGCGAATGACACTGCCGCTACGAAAGCGCTCCTGCAGGCTGAGATGGACGCAACCTCAATCATGCTAAACGATTGGACTCACAGCACCTCGGACACTATATATGCGACATACTTCGAGAATGGCGTCTTCCCCTCTTGTGTTGACAGTCTTTTGGCAAACGGAATGGGTCAGGTACGATGTCTTCCAGACTACATCCTTGAGGCTGGAACCGGTCTCGGACTGAGTCCTGCACCTATGACCATGGCAGGAATGAAAGCTAGACAGATGGCTAGCATGATGATGGCAATGACTTCTTCGTCGACCATGATGGAAGCCGCGGCGACTTCGGTGTTGATGGCAAGCGATAGCACAACTACGAGCATGGCAGGCATGCTACCACAGTCGAGCATTCCTGGGATGGCGGCGTCATCGTTGTCGATGCCAATGGCAAGCCCCAGTATGTCGGCTATGTCAGGTATGCTAACCTCCCTAACACCTCGTGGGTGCACTCCGCCAATGATGTTCAAACCTGGCTACAATGAGAGCTCTTTGCCGGCGGATACATGTAAAAATACCACCTCTCCCTTAATGATCGTTACTGGAAACGCCACGCTGGGATGGCTGGCTCTTAACCTCGTCAATTCGGGATCAGTTGCCAAGCTTAGTGTGTCACTCGACGCGCACTCTATGTATGTGTATGCTGCAGACGGTCTATACGTCGATCTTCAGGAGGCCAAGGTAAGTCATTACGACTTCATACTAGAAACCGTGTTCTGATTGCTCGTCCAGGTTCTATACATGGCACTCGGACAACGCTACTCCGTCATGATCAAGCTCGACCAGATGCCAGGAGATTACGCTCTGAGATTCGCTACATACCCCACGGGTGATATGCAGCAGGTGCTCGAGGGCCAAGCTGTCATGCGCTACAGTGTATGTTAGATACAGTTCCTGCAGAAATCCGATTACCACTGACAATGTACAAGAGTTCTGCGATGATGGCCAGTACTATTCCTGCTCCCTACAATGCATCCTCCATTTGGACGTTGGTCAATGGATCAGCAAAAGGAGGCGCAACTCAACTTGATCCAGCTATGCTCGCACCTTTCGACGGGAACAGGCCGCCCTCCAAGAAAGCAGATTTGACTAAGGGGTTCCAAGTCAGTCAGACAGGCATTGTCGAATGGGTCATTGACAAGTATCCATACTCCGAGCCAAAGGTACCAATTGTTTTTGGAAACAGCTCGGATGGCTGGATGGCAGGTTCGACACTCCATATGCCTTTCAACTCAACAATCGACATCATCTTGACTATCTCGAATGACTCTATGGACATGGTAGCTATGCTTTACCCTCCCATTGATGCACGAGTTAACCTTATCGAAAACAGATGGGCCACCCGATGCATCTTCATGGTCACAAGTTCTGGGTCCTAGGCTCTGGCGATGGAGGATTCCCATATGCCTCGGTCGCAGACGCACCGGCAGCTCTCATAAATACGGTCGACCCGCCATTCCGCGACACGACCGACTTGCCAGCCTCCGGCTGGGTTGCCATTCGGTACATACAACTACTCTTAATCAAATACAACAGTACTAACACAGACCTAGTTACCTGACCGATAACCCAGGCGCCTGGCTCCTCCACTGCCACATTCAATGGCATTTAGTCGTACGTCCCCCCCTCCCTCCTCTTCCACCCATGACAGCCCATCGAAAAACAGTCACAAATTAACCCGCACCTCCAGAGCGGAATGGGCCTAGTTCTCGTCGAGGGTGAAAGCCAAATCGCCGACATCTTGAGAGCAAGCAACTTCTCCATGGCATCACCGACAGAGTCGATGACGACAGCAACGGCAACAGCTACATCGACCCCGAAACTAGCAAGTGGCTCCACAAGCGCTTCGAGCAGTCTGGTGGTCGAGCAGGGACACCGCGGCGTGGCTATGGTCGTTACTTTCAGCGCGGCGTTGGCACTCGTCCTTGCTGGACTCTTGTAAGATGATATCCTGTATAGATACTGAGCGTCACCCGCTCTATTAGTTGGTTATATCGCCGTGGAGGTATTATTGCTGTTTGTCCCCTTCAGATGAAATCTTCTGGATAACATATATGTTCATTTACGGCGTATATCTGTTGCTGTTGTTGACTAGGCCCCGAGACTCCCTCCAAAGCTTGTGTTAAAATTTGTCTATGAACGTGACCTACGCTCCGCTAAGATAGGTACTGTTCATTAATCGTGATTTATGAGTTTTCTCCCATTGAACTGTGTCTGTTATGTGCACTTTACTTCACTTTACTTCCTTGGCGGTGATGGCGAGGGCTGCACCGAGACGGGTGAAGACTTTATTTCATTCACTTTGTAGATCGCACTATTTGTTGTATGGATGTAGCACTGGTTGTACGGATGTAGTGCTGGAGTCTAACTCTCCAAGACCTTGTGAAGTCTTTGCACATGGATTCGATATTACAGGGAGACTTATGAGTTCGTTTGCGTTAGTGCCTTGAGTGTCTCTTTTACTCGGGGGTCTCTTTTGTTTCAGTGATGGCCATTAAGACGAGATTGAACCGAAGTTAGAACTGCATTCCGCTCGGAGGGCAAGACAAGATGGCTGGTTGGTATGTTTACTCATTAGACGTTACTAGTGGTAAATGAAAGTGCCTTGCATTTGCAGTTCTTTTACACACCACAATAGCCACGCAACCTGCCCGACAAATCACTACAGCTTATATTCGCATCTTTTGTTCTAGATCCACTCCTCTTGCGCGAATCCGACGGTTGATCTCACTATGACTTCGGGGCAAAACCCGGGCAAGGTCTGTGAGCTCAGAGCTTAGCCATCTTTCAGTTAAGCACAGGCTTCCTTGATGCCTCTAGTGACCAACCACCAGTTGATGGGGAATCCAGTCCAGTGTCCAAAGAACATACCGATCTGAGACATCTCAACACTAGTCTCATCGAGAGGGATCAGATTCGGGGATGTCACTAACCTGCATCATAAACCAATAGGTTGCAGTATTCATACCTAGCTTCTGATCGAAGATTAAAAGATCAAAGATAGCCATCCAGCCAAAGAGACCGACTTCGAAGAAGGTCAGTGACAGGAAATCGGCCTTAATAGAGCGGACGATGGTTTTCCAGCCGTAGTCCCCGGCCATTGGAGCGATGGAAAAGTACTGAAAGACGATGCCAAAGAGGAGAGCGAGTACGAAATCTGTGCGAAAGTTCAGTCGCTCAGCAAGCCTTACGGAGCACCTCGGAGGGGTTGTAGATCGGTAATGGACGCAGACCCACCGATGATGAAGGCAGCATAGAGCATACTCCCACCGATTGTTACGCCTGTCCTATAGACCAGCCATTCCCCAACGATATCGCCGAGAACGCAGCCAGCACCACAATGGCAGGTTGCGATAGTAATAGTGGCGAAGATGGGTCTGTCAGCACTCATCTCACGGTGGCGCTGATGGGCTCCTCCACTATTACCCATGTTATGCCCGGCATAAGCGTTCGCGTTTTCAGTGCCGTGCATTCCAGAATGGTGAACTGTGTCTGTCGAGTGCTGGTGCAAGAGGGGATCGTGTTCGCTGGCCGCAGCTCCATCCTGGACATTCTTCTTTACCGGCATGGACGGCCTCCCGTATTCGAGGTACGTCCAAACAGTGATTGGCCACAGGTACAGCGCGTTGATAACGTAGACTGGGATCCTACAGCCTCAGAGAAGGTTTCTAGGTCAGCGTACGGACTTTTAAAGAGAAACTGAGTCCATTAGAGTTTTGGGGGGAAAGGAAGGGGGGTTTCACATGATAGCCATCATAGTCCTCCATCCTCGACGATAGACGATGTCGAATGTCAGCCAAAGGGAGGCGAGGGAGGCAATAGCTATCGAGACCCAGGAGACGACTGAGACGGGATATGGAGGTGTATATGACATGGAAGGCAAGTAAAGGGCTTCCATCTTGTCAGTATAGTTTGTCTTGGGGACCGGTATGCGTGCTTGATTGAAATGATGACTAGGAGATAGAGTAATAGGAGTACCACCAACAGGACTCGGATATTGGAAAGGTGTGGATGTGATAAGAGTGACTTCGAAAGGGTTGAGGTAGTGAAGCTCTATATCTATGAGCTGAGCCGGGCTTACAGATTAAAGCGACGTCATCCTCCATCGGAGCAACAACGCACTAGTGGTACAGATCCTTGCGAAAGTAGAAATGCACCCCTGGCTTTTCCAAGCATAATTCAGTAGAAATAGAGTTTACAAGAGTAGATTGATTGATTAAGGTTCTATATATTGAGATAAGACGCTGCCGAAGACATTTCGCTCCGCGTGTGCAAAAGAGGCTCTGGTCAACCAGCGAATGCAATGCACTTAGCGTAACACTGTACAGCCAAGAAAGTATGGCGAATTTCGTGTCAACGAGTGTAAGGCCTCCAACAGTGATCGTCTACTTTTGAGCATATGGTAGTGGAATGTTTCTGAGTGATCGCAGAGCTCATACTCAGATCTCCTTAAAGGAACTATCGTACAGGCTTAGAATAGCGCAGTCGAAATCGCGTAAGCCCACATAGTTTGCGCGACAAGAATACCCACCACATCATATGTACAACTGTGCGCCATCCAGCTAGAGACAGGAGCATTGCAATAATCTTTATAACGTAGAGTTCTAGATTACAAATATCAAAGTAATGATAAAGAGCTTCAAGAGCCGTGAGGTAGGGATGTGCTTCCACTCTTTCAAGCTTTCTGGGGAAATTCCGTTGATCTGAAGCCCACTCCTGGCAACCTGCTCCTTAAAAGTAGACTGCTGTAGACCACGCTAACACTACTTAATGCCATGGCCAAACTTGCCCAGACGGGATCAAGCCTGATGTGACTCCCGTTACTCTTCACCGGGTACAAAACCCCTGCGGCAATAGGCAGTGCGACGAGATTGTAGACGAGGGCCTATCCGAAGTTGAACCATACCCTCCTGAAGACAATGCGGCTTAGATCGATGAGTATGAGAAGTGAAGTCAGGCGAGATGACATGAGTACGAACTCAGCAGATGATATCGCAACGTCAGAGCCAGATCTAATGGCAATACCAACGTCTGTAATGGTCAATGCCGGAGCATCATTGATACTATCACCCACCATCGCCACCGTGGCTCTCTTTCCAGCACTACGCCTGCCTTTGCAGACCAAGGTCTGCTGAAGATGCCGTATCTTCTCCCCCTTTTGGTCGGGTAGCACTCCCGCAATGACATTACCCTCGCTGATGCCCACCATCCTGCCGATAGCTCTGGCCGTCGTCAGATTGTCACCTGACAGCATCCAAACCTCAATGCCCCTGGACTGAAGGGCTTGAACCACAGAAGCAGACTCCGGGCGAATCTGGTCGGACACCGCGAAAACCGCTGATAGGGTTCTTCTGGTATCGGCTTCGCTTGTTGCCAACGATTGCAAGGGCACGCTCATGGCAAATAGTGCGACGGGTTTCCCTTGTTCTTTCCATACATCCAAGGTCGCGGTGACGTGGGGACCAAACATCAGGGCCTCGTTGCCAAGGAGGATCTCCACTTCCTGTTGGTCTTGTGAGTTGGGCATAAACATGCCTCTCATGCCTTTTCCAGGTATTTCAGTGATGTGATTAACACTAATGCTTTCTGCTTCTCTGGTTTCGCAGAAAGCGACCAAGGCCTTCCCAACAGGGTGGCTACTACTGTCCTCTAACCGCTGCACCATCCCCAATACCGTCTTCTCATCGTCGGCAGACAGGCATTCATACCCCGTCACGGTCGGCTCTCTACCTTCAGTCAAGGTCCCCGTCTTGTCAAACACAATGCAGTCAAGCCCGCTGGCCTCCTGGAACGCTTCTCTACCGCCTTTAACGAGAATGCCATGTTGTGCGGCCAGACCACCGCTAACAAAGAGGGCGGTCGGAGTAGCGAGACCAATGCCACAGGGGCAAGCGATAACGAAGACGGCTATCGAAAATTGTAGAGACTAAAGAGGCCAACCTCTAACGTTCGTATCGCGATAGCTTGCTGGCAGGGAGCCGGACAACCCAAGAGCTAGCCAGATGATCCAAGTAGAGACTCTGATCAGAACCACGAGAGGGACAAAGTGACTCGTTATCGCATCCGTAACGCGTTCGATGGGGGCTCGCCTTGCCTGGCCCTTACGCACCACCCTGACGATTTGGTCGAGTATCGATGTCCCTGAGACGTTTGATATCCGTACCGATATTGGACCTCCCTTATTAACAGTCCCTGTAAACACGCCGTCGCCGACATCCTTGGCGACAAGCCGAGACTCCCCGGTCAAGCTAGACTCATCAAACTTCGCTTCTCCTTCCACGATAGTACCATCAGATGGGGGTGAGGCACCGTGCACAATCTTAACGGTGTCGCCAACGTCAAGTAGATCGACAGGGGTCTTGTGGGTTGTAGGCTCTGCAGGCTGAAGCCGACTGCGGATAGGATCAATGAGGATGGCCTCTGTTGGCCTTAGCTTCCCTAGCAAGGTCACAGCGTCGCCCGTTTTGGCTTTGCTATAGGCTTCAAGGAACCTGCCAATGAGAAGAAACATGGTAAGAAAGACTACGGAGTTAAAGTACGATGAGCTCGCCGCTATTGAAGCCGTGTCTGTCGTTTGGGTTGCGGCAAGAGCAAGTTCTGCTATGGAAGAGAAATATGCGATAGTGGTTCCTAAAGAGATAAGCATATTCATGCTCCCGAATCGATAAAACCTCCGAAGTAGTGGAGTGGTGCTCCTAGGTCTCCACATCGCCCGCAGCTCCTTGAAGGCGCGAACATGGAAGACATCGGCGGCAAAGAAGTAGACGGGTGTCGCTATTATGAATAGAGCCTATTCAGCCCGACTGACGCGTCTAGCCCACATAGGCTCCATGATGAATTGACGACTCGGACTGCGTGAGTCGACCAGGTTCATTAGAACAATCCCCACAATAAATGTCGGGATAGCGACGACGATCGAGAGCGCAAGGCGAAGAAGGATTCGTCGCTGCTCACGAGCACGCATCTTCTGAGACCGTTGCTCAAGCGAGGGTGGGTGGTAAATGAACGGCTCGAATGCAGCATCGACTGCGGCGATGGAGGCGATTATTTGCCTGATCGTAAAATCCGGCGCCTGCGGGATGTAGCTGATCCTGAGGATTGGATCGGATATAGTTGGAGGACTCTCAACCTGCACCTTTTCACCAAAGCTCTTATCCAAGGCATCGGAGATCCGCGGAGGACAATGAGAACAATACATTCCAACAACCTGTATAGCGACCGTCCTTTGAATGTGGGTTTTGCGGGACTCGTCCAAATTGACCAGGTCGTCAAGGCTAGCTTCGTAACCTACATCTTCAATTGCTTGCTTTATGCTCGTCAGATGTTCCTCACCTTTGAACACAACCGTGGCACTGTTAGAGACTAGGTTGACCTCCACTGTTCCCACATATTCTAGCTGCTGCACAGCCTTGGTAATTGTCCCTACACAGGAGCTGCAAGTCATTCCCGGCAAGTCCACATCACATCAATTCATTACTTCCAGCTGTACAACCAGGTCAACAAGTAGCACCAGCCACCATCAACGTCACAGCGCTCCGAAACTTCAAGAATTAGCTCCTGTTCCGCTTTCTCGCAATCCTAGCCCAGTGTTTATGGTCAATCATTCCCAAATGTTCGACTTGGACACCCAATTATCTCAGTCAAACCCGCCTCCGCATATCACCTATCAATTAACACCACAACATGTACAGTCCCAGGGAACACCACAGAGGTCATACTTTAGGGTTATGGGCTGGTAGCCGGCGGGCTTCGGGGCTCACTTCAAGTTAGACCGGATTCCGAGATAATTTCGGACGACGAGGGATGAGTATAGATATCCAAGGGTGTCTGCCCGCCGGATTGCGTTTCTTGTCTACCCAGCCACGATCTCTCCTAGACACCAAGCTAGTAGATGAGTACGAAAGGCTCTCTGTTACTCACGTTCAGCCATCTGACTTTGATCCCTGTTCCAAAGAGTCCAACGAGCAAGCTGTCATGGGACTTATGTTTAGAACGTTCCGACGGGCTGAAGGGTTTGAGGTTGAGCATCTTGTCTTGAGCGTCCACGGTATGACCTGCACTGGTTGCGAGAAGAAACTCTACAGATCGCTCGATTCGCTTCCGGCAATTTCAAACATCAAGACTAGTCTCGTTTTGGCTCAAGCCGAGTTTGACCTGACCGGATCTACCGCTGTTGATAGCGTTAATATCATCAAGACAATTGAGAAAATGACTGGGTTCACTTGCACGAAGATAACACAGTCGGGGGAAGAGCTAGATATGATTGTGGGCGGCAATGTACAGGACTTCGCCCACGAAGAAGACTTGCCCCTTGGGGTCGCCGATCTGACCGTCCTTAGCAAGAACACTATCCGCGTCATCTACCACCCCAAAATCGTTGGCGCTAGAGATTTGCTTTTAAGCCCATTCTTTTGGTTGGCAAAACTCGCTCCTGTTGTAGCTCGTCCCCTGGTCGCTTTAGGCAGAGCTTATGTCTACATGACGTTCTTTATGACGCTTTTATCCACTCTGTTGACTATACTAGTCCTTATTTTAGCGTAGGCTCCTCTCCTAGAGCATAAAATACTTTATAGAGCAATTTCATTAGGACTCGCTACGATCGTTTAGGCTGTCGTTACTAGACCCTTTTATAACAGGGCTTTAAAGGCTCTTATCTTCTTGCGGATGATAGAGATAGACCTCCTTATCGTTATGAGCACTACTACGGCATACGTCTATTCGGTTATTACATATACCTATCAAGTAGCAGGAAAGCCGTTATTGACTAGACAATTCTTTGAGACTAGTACTTTACTCGTTACACTTATCATGGTTAGACGCGCGGTTAGCGCTTTTGCCCTGCAGAGAGCTGTCGAGTCAATCTCAATTGAGTCGTTGCAGACACCTACTGCACTTCTCATAGATCCTAAAACCTACTAGGAACAAGAGATCGATGCACGTCTCCTTTAATATCAAGACACATTTAAAGTTTTACCTAACACGTCTGTTGTCACTAATGGCATAGTGATTGCGGGAGAGACATAGGTTAATGAATCTATGATTACCGGCGAGGCTACGCTAGTTGCTAAGAAGCCTAGAATGGCTGTGGTTGCCGGCTCGATCAACTATTCCGGCACTCTTATAGTCCGGCTCACTTGTCTACTAGGCGAAAATACTATTAAAACCATTAGGGTCATGGTCGATAAGGCCAAATTGTCTAAGCCGAGAATTTAGGAAATTGCCGATCGCGTTGCCAGCTACTTCGTGCCTCTTATCCTTGTTATCACCGTACTGGTATTCGTGATTTGGGTCGCAATTAGAAAAGCTGTACGGTACTAGAGTGCGACGACAACATGTATTGTTGCCATGACATACACTATCTCTACTCTTATTGTCTCCTGCCCCTGTGCTATTAGCCTGGCGGTCCTAATGGTAGTTGTAATCGCAGGAGGTGTAGCAGCAAAACACGGCCTAATATTTAAATCTGTAGAAACAATTAAGATTACACAAAACGTTTCTTACGTCATCTTCGATAAGACAGGCACTCTTACGCAGGGAAAACTCTCTGTCGAGGCTGAAGAATATCCGACGGGAAAGGCCGATTCGCTAGCTCTGATAATTCTTGGATTGACGACTAATAGCAAGCATCCTGTATCTACCGCTATCGCTGCTTACATGAAGGCCTTAGAGGTCTAGCCCTCGTAAGTCGAGAATGTTGTATCTGTGGCTAGTAATAGCATTAAAGTAACGTAGAATAGAAAGATCATTCGCGCTGGCAATCTACACTAGCTAGGCTGTCAAGACTCACCAATAGTTCACGGAATCCTTTCACGTGGCCTAACCTTGTTCTGCGTCTCCATAGAAGGAGAGCTAATTTATCAACAGGTATCATGGGTTAAGAATTTTTCACACGATAGGTCTTGTTGAGAAATCAAGACTAAATTAAACGTTTTATAATGAACTAGTTCAAGACATTCGAAGATAAGATAATATACGACATCGAACTATTTAGCAGTTTCCCACCACGAATTCGCATCTATAGACAGATTATTACTAGACTCGCCAATGACTATGGAAATCTATTACTTACACTCCGAGGTAGTCGGCTCCTTAATTGACTTTCTAGCGTCTGCTTTGTGAGCATGATGCACGCTAAAGAGTCCATTCCGTTTTGCCATAGCTTCGTCAAGGTCAACTTGATCAGCTCTAGTAACAGAGCCCATGAGGTGAGGGTATCCTAGAGAGGTAGAGTGCGTGTCAGCCACAACAAAATCTAAGTTGGGTATAAACAACGCACCCATAGGGAACTCATGACCAGCATCGACTTCCCAAAAATGCCAGGTCTTTCCATACAGGTTGATGATCCTGTAAGCCAGTCTTTAATATCTGCTTGTATTTAGTCTAGTAAAGGTATTGGCTACTCTATCTAAACTCTGCTAAACCAAAGGAATATCAGGAATTCAAACCATTTCATAGCATTTGTGAATTCTTGACCGCTATTCATATCTACGCTGAAGATGCAAAACAAGGCAAAGCACGTTACGTTGAAGCTGCACATTATTGTGCCCATGTTCGCCATAGTGAGTTATCTCTGCGTAGCATTTCTAGCTACAAATAATAATACGTACGTAATAAGATTTGCGTCAGTGCCTTATTTATGATTCCCATGAGAAGGATGCTCGATTGATTGGCGTGGAATATATGGTTCCACGTGATGTTTATGAAACATTTCCAGAGGAGGAGAGGAGACTTTGGCACTCTCATGAATATGAGGTCAAATCTGGGATGCTTATCCTTCCAAAGCCTGCCGCTATAGAGGATTCAGAGTGGGAAAAAGCCGAGCTTGCTGCCATGAAGGAGCCAGATTCTAAAGAAGTCATGATATTGAGGTGCTGGAGGAGACAAAATAGTTTCTTATTTGAAAATAAACAATCGAATCGACAGCTAAATAACACCACCTCTATTTATGAATAGATGCTTACGATGTCATATGAACGACATGACGTATCCATTCTCTAAGCTTTGATGTCACGTCATCCTTATCGTACTTGAGCTAAGGATCTCTTGCCAGGTGCATCGCCGAGGTGACGTCACGTGGACCAGATGGCGGCTAATCATTTTTCGTGGGAATGATGTTGCGCCCAAGTTGAGAGACATAACGGAAAAGACCTGATAACAAATATATGCATCCGCAAACAGTCAGCTAGTCAGCCAGTGTTAGGAACAAATTGAAGAGAAAGCACGCCAATCCGCCAACGTACAGATCATAGTAAAGACCATCCCAACGATGCGCTCCTACCCCCGCCACGGATGCGGCTCGAAGCACCATGTATGTTTATTAACCTCAAGGCGGGACCTCACAGCAGAGCGTTTCCCTCACCTGGTCTCACAGGTCGCCGACAGTTGTATACGGAGGCCTGAGGCACCAATTAGTGGTAGTATATTGATTCGAGCTACCATAACCACATGAACGGTACAGGATGGTGACAGTGAGGATATAGATATAGATGCTATTTACGATGCTTAGAGTATGTACTACTCCCACTGTAGCTATTTAGTTAGAATTATTACTCAGTCATATCGCCCCCCTCCCCTCCCTTTCACGTTTTTTTTCCGGATAGTCGTGTGATCTACTAGCCTGACGTACGGTACTGGTCGGGGACCTACCCTCATGCTCGGCGATTAAATGGCCCATACTGTTGTCGTTTATAAGGATAGATCCGTAGCAGCATTAGCCGCATTATTCAAACATCTTAACAGATATCACCTTTCCAGCGGGTAGTCTCCAGCTCCATCTCTAAGCAATCCCTCCTCATATGGCCGCCCCCAATGTAGTGTCCGACGGAGACACTACCCATTTATCGCAAGATGCATTTATTTTAGACGTTAAGAAAAAGGCTATGAATATACACCTGTAGAATACTCTAGTCAAGAATTTCGGGTGGCAAGATATTACTGTCACAGTTAAAGACCACAAGACGAAGCAGCCAAAGGCCCTCTTATATAGTGTTAGTAGAATTGTTAAGGCTAGTTTGTCGACTTCCTGTAATGGTAGAATACGTATTACTAACACAGTTTAGGCGAATTGTGTGCTTTGATAGGACCATTAGGATACGGTAAAACCACTCTATTAAACGTGCTTGCCTATCGTGATGCTACCGCAGGAGCTAAGGTTGCTGGCGTAGCTCTTGTCAATAGTATTAGTCGATCTCGAGAAGCTTTCTGTCAGATCAGCTCCTATGTAGAGCAAGAGGACGCCCTTATCGGCTCCTTAACAGTACAGGAGACTTTAAGCTTCGCCGCAAGATTATCCAACGCATCGTATGCTTTCCCTTTCTTATAACAAAGACCTAATTCTCGCTAATGTAATCCAGAAGTCTATCTAAACTAGAGCGCATGAATCTTATTACTGGTCTACTTGACTCGTTTGGCCTCTGAAAACAACAGCATACTCTGGTTAGAACCCCTATTCGAAAGGGCATTAGTAGAGGCCAAAAACGTCGTGTTAGTGTCGCTAGTCAATTGATCACAGGCCCGAAGCTGTTGTTCCTCGACGAACCTATAAGCGGACTTGATTCTACAGCTAGTTTAGAGGTGATCTCGTTCATTAAGAGCATTGCCTAGCAGAATAACGTAAGTTGAAGCCCCGCGAGTTAGACGGCTAATACTAAGAGAGACAGTTGATTGTAGTTGCGAGCATTTACCAACCCTCCTTAACCACCTTCTAGATGTTCGACAAGGTGCTTTTACTTTCTGTAGGAAAGCCTTACTATTTCGGTTCTGTTCCTAAAATAGCGCCCTTCTTTAAAGGCATAGGTCATCTAATTCCTCCTTACACGAACCTAGCCGAGTTTGTACTTAAGTTGATGAATGTCGACTTTTCACAAGATCAAGAGGCTGCGATAAAACAACTAGGCAGTATACAAGAATCGTGGGCTACTTCTGCTATAGCGGAGTCAATTACTACAGAGATCAAGAATACTAACCAGAGATCCTCTAGTGACAAGGTGCCTAAGTCTAAAGCCGCAGGAGCAGGAGTTTTCCTTCTCATTATAGCCCTTATTCACCGCGCCTTCATCAAGAGTTACAGAGATGTCGTCGCGTATGCTATTCGAGTGATAATGTACCTAGGATTAGCTATCATGATAGGGACAGTCTGGCTCAGACTCGGATCTAGTCAAGCCGATATCTAACCGTTTATTAATGCCATCTTCTTTAGGAGTGCTTTTATGAGTTTCATAGTAGTCGCCTATGTTCCTGCCTTCTTAGAAGACCGCGCTGCCTTTGCCAAGGAACGGGCAAACGGACTATATGGCGCCGCACCCTTTGTCCTCTCGAACTTCATTATCGGTCTTCCCTACCTGTTTATTATCGCTGTCCTCTTCTCTGTTGTCGCCTACTAGCTCTTAGGTTTCTAACTAACGGCGGAGGCGTTCTTTACATAGATCATGTGGCTGTTCCTCGATCTAGTAGCAGCCGAATCTCTAGTTGTCCTTATTTCATCATTGTTCCCTAATTTTGTCGTTACACTTGTACTAACAGCATTCGCCAATAGCCTGTAGATAAGCGTAGGAGGCTTTCTTGTACCACCTAACATTCTTAACGTTTTCTGGTACTACGTATTCTCGTACATTGACTACCAGGTTAGTTCTCTCGGTAGCCCCCTTCATCTTAACCGGTATACATGACAACTAACAGTCCTATAGCGGTAGGTCTTCCAAGGTATGATGGTCAATCAATTCTAATACTAAACGTATTCCTGCGGCACAGGCTGTAACTACATGTATCAGACCACGCTCGCTCCTTAGTGTCAGATTACGGGAACTAGGATTTTAGATTAATATAGGTATGAGGTTGGTCTTAAGGGCACCTGGGTTGGCATCCTGATTGGCATTATTGCTGGATATAGACTTCTCGGATGGGCTGTGCTTGTAGTTCGGAAGTAGGAGATGACCAAATGGGAATAATTGCAGGCTTTAATAGGAATTTTGCTGGATTAGGATAGATGACAGTACGGTACTGATTGAACGAATCTTGTTGCAGCCAGCGCAGTTTTGCAGGTCCGGTGCAATGTTTAGAAAGAAGATAGGGGAAGACCGTTCAAGACCTCTTCGAATTTTAGAGGGCACAGCATGTTATTTTCGATACGATATGCCACCTCAAACCAACCCTGCTGATTACCTTCTTGATCTCACAAGTCGGATTTCGACTGGGGGAGCTGGCTCAAAAGGCCGGGATATTCCACATTCACAAGCCAAAGCTGGTCGGCGAACTCCAGAATTTTCTGCGCCATACATAGTCTGGTAAGCGACCTGTCACCGATGACGTCAGCAACTCTTCGTGACCCCCCCCCCAAAAACAACAACTCCTCCGTCATCATGATAAAATGAATCAAAACAACCAGAAGAGTCGATGGCTGTCGGCCACTGGATAATAAGATCTGTCGTGAACCTCTCTATGCACTTGATTCTTGCAGTTCGATACCTCTGTAATCGCCGCGCGTTTGCATGATTCTTATTCTCCCCGGGGAGTTTTGGTAGGTTATACTCATAAAACGGCAGCGTATGACCTTCTATTACGCCTACGAGTCGCTTTCGCATTGGCATATACCCATCTTTGAGTTGGAATGTCGAATGCCGAGGAGGCAACAGCGCTCGAAGACCTGGGACAGTTGCGAGAGCCAGGAGGCTATGAACAAGCTTCTGGTTAGCGTGTATATCTTTACTAGCCTATAAGACAATACCTGTTGCCCGCCGACGGTGTTCCGCGTCGCGAATATCATTCCGGCCATCTTCGACGGAACAACATCCAGGACTTTCTATTCATTGTAATATATTAGTTCTAGTGGCCTTGCCAACGGGGACGCATATAATACCTCGTTGAAAAGTCGACGATAAGTGTCGTGAAGTTCATACGGTCGGGGAAGTCTCGTCAGCGGCGATCCATTGATGAGCAGGCTCCCATCCAAGGTATTATAATGCACTGTCATGGTAAGACCACCGTCGGGGGAAGTCTCGGTCATTACCCACCGCTGGTTGGGGCTTTGGATGGCGGCCCAAGGACTTCCCGGAAGGTATCCAGCCCAGACTCGTCGTATGGCCTTGTCAATGCCCCCCTGTGTGCGAAGAATTTGCTGGCGCAGATACCCTTTAAGGGAATGGGATAGCCTCTCAAATCGCCAAAGTAGCATCCTCAAGGGTGTAGGTAAGTCCCGTGTCATAGCAGGACAACGATCGTGGATGATGATGCTACACTCAATTATTACAGTAACATCTTCATCTGTTCTCAGCAGTGCCGAGAGGTGTATCTGGTCCACATCAGAAGTGCTATAGTATATGAGGGCCATCTCTAGGGTCCGCAAATTCATGGCCTTTAGCTCTTCCGGATCCTGCTCCTCGTGAAGCAGGCGGCCCACGTCTCGGACCCAACATAGAGCGACATCTCTTGCTCGTCGCAAGAATAAGTAACAGCCATCGCGAACTGCACGATGCGAGGATAAGGAGAGGAGCCGGGCGGCAAGCATGACAAAAGTGCGTGCTGCGGTAGCGCCTTGCCAGTTGCCCTCCACGGCATCAAGCGCCTGATGCAAGACCGATAGCAGCGTTGTTCCAAACTCTTCTTCTTCGAGGTCAACATGAGCTTCGCGACAAGCTCTTGTACCGTGCTGGCACTGGGCCTGCCAGGCTGCCTGGATAATCAAGATATGTGTCTCCTCCCGACTGAAATTGAGGATATAAGCGGTCAGTTCACGGGCGATGTTACGCCACTGAAGCCGATGACCTGATCTCAACGTTGCAAATTGATAGTACTCATGCAAGTTAAGCACTGTCGGGCACTCGGACTGCCAAGCGATGGCCTCATTTGACGTGTGGGTGGTTTTGTCTACGGTGTACTGCAGTTTGCTGTAAGATCCAGCTGGGAGCTGCAGAGTACAGATCCTCCAGATATCACACCTCGCTTCTGTTGTCCACTGCCGTGACTTCGAGTCGTACATGGAATAATGCAGGCCGTTGTTCACGCAGATATTCCCCTTAGTTGCTTGCGGAATCTTCTTGATGCGGTAGTGGGCTACGATGAACGGTTTCGCCTTGGAAGCAAGTTGCAGCCTTCCCATTGGGCCTTGCACGTAGTTTCTCAAGCCGTCGAAGTCCCTGAGGGAATATACGTTGTCCTCTTGTTCAGAAATATCTCGGGGAGCAGGGTATGCGTCGTATCCCTCCACTTGGATATCGCGACTGGTACGTCCAGTTCGAACACGGTACACTTCGCTTCTACTTCGGTCTGGGGAAGCGGCCACTCGTGGATGGTAATATCAAGACCCCCAGCTCTCTGTTTCAACTGACACTTGTAGCAGCTTGACGGATGGATGGGGTACTCGCGGTAGCGGTCAAATCCAGTCTCCTCCGCATGGCTCAATGAGTCCGACTCTCGCATCAGGCGATTGTACTCTTCGCGTTTACGTGTCAGCTCCTCTTTTTTCTGCGCCCGTTCGAGCTCTGCTGCCAACTCGATCTTGCGCCGGAGCTCTTGATGGCTGAATGAACGCTCAAAATATTTGACAGCAAAGCTGTTGGCCTTGTTGATGTTTCGAAAAATAAGAGCAGAAAGACGTGTAGATTCGCTTTTCCTCTGCTTGATATGTTGTTCGACACGGACTAGCCGCTCTAGGTGAATTTTTTTGGGAAGCAACAAGGGATCAAATAATGTCGTAGGGAATCCAGAATCATACTCTTTTAACAGTGGGTATTGATGAGTAGCACACTTGTCTAGAGCTACCCATATATCCATGACCGTAAGCAGCATTAGTGATGTATCCTCGGCACTCTCGCCATACACGGGGCCGGCAACAATGGTGTAGGCTTGGACTAGCCCCGCTAGTCGTGCGCAGGCATCTTGTAACGTCAGGTTGGCACATAGCCATCCATCTAGGTGCTCTTGAACCCAGATTTCGACGTCCATGAGTGACAGACGATCATTGACCTTCGAGCCGAACTGAGGAAGCTTTGACTCAAGTTGATCAATACGTTGGCCACAGTTCGGCTGGAACTTGCCAGCATCCACAGGTATGTCTTCCAGCTTCGGTCTTCCACCGAGGTAAGGCTGGAGACTTAAGAGGCTCAACCCTATATCTTTATCGAATGACAATTGCGACGGGTTCCATTTTGACTGTAGCCCAAGTGGATCTGTTTTCTGCTCGATCACGTGCCACCTGCTGGTAATTTCAGCCTGAGCTGCCTTAATAATGTCGTGGACATATCGCATCCAGGGCTGCTCATCTATCATAGAGAGCTTTAATGCTCGTCTACTGATCTTGGTAGCCATAACGAATAGTGTATCGCTAGGCATAGCGGCCTGCAAGGCGCGCTTCAAGATACGTGCCATGAAGAAGACCATGAATGATTTGTACGGTCTGTGATCTTCATGTCCAGTAACGAGACTGGTTTGTAGCGCGACGCGAAGTAGCAGCCAGAGGGGTGACCGGCGCCAAGGTTTCAAAGCATCGTTCCAGAGCACATCATCGCGTGTGCGCTTATGGATGCGAGAAACATCCGCGGGTTGTCCGGTGAGCATCTCCGTGACGAACTTTGGATGCACGGTATCCCGAATCTCCGTGGTGTGAGAGCCAGCTTTTGATACAACAGGGACTGACTCTATCGGGGTATCGATATCAAGCCGTGCTAGTAGTTCTGCCAAAGCCTCGCAAAAAGAAGTCTCAGCTATCTTCTCGTTGCCCAATGCAATAGCCGGACCAGGGAAATGGCGTCGAAGTCTACCCTTTGTTGCCATGACGGCAGCGGTGGTAGGGGAGAGTTTAAACGACTCGAACACGAAGTGTTGGGGTGTTGCACGACTGATGAGGCCAGCATTCTGACCGCGAATATGGAATAGAAGGATATCTATGAGAGTGAGCGTAGTCAGTAGCTCTATCAGGATTCGGCCTGCCTCCGCTAGTCATCTGTCCAAGGCTCATCTTGACATTTTCAACTAGCATATCTCCACATGGATCTCTCGTCTCAAGTATCCTGCTTAGCATCTTAGCGCAAGATGCCCATTCCAAGCGATCTTCTGGAGGAAGGTGGGCCATGAATGACTCCAACGCAGCCCTAAATTCCTCTGTGAGCGCAAGATCTTCCATGATGTCGGTATTATCCTCTTGTGGTAGCTTGGGAGGGAGGAAGATATGGTTGATGATATATAGTAAGCTGTAAGCTGCTGTTATAGGTTTGTTTTGCTTGTTTTCTTTGGCTTTCTGCATCTTTATTTTCTTTGTGTCGTTGTTCGAGTTTGATTTTTGATTTTGAATTTGCCTTTCTCTATTTATAGGTTTACTGTTGCTTGTAGATATTCCCTAGTTCAAGTAAGTAAGAGGCAAACAGGACGAGCCAAGTTGAAGTAAGTCGGACCTTACACTCGGTAAAATTGGTAAGTTTCATGTAAAACATCGATGTCACAATAGGTAACATCCCTCCAGGTTTCATAAGCTAGCAAGACAGCCCGCATAGAGATGTTTTATGGAGGTATGCCTTTTGCACAGTATGGTAGGGTAGATGCGAGTGGCATGTCTGAAGCCTGACGTTGCTTAAGTGCTACAGGAACAATGTAGCCAGGTTTAGGGTCATACACTTGCTTCCGGGTTTGTGCCTGTACTACTTAAGAAAGGTCAGGCTTCAGATAGGTGCGTCAGATAAGTATTTCAGATATATACCACTAAGGGCCGTAGCGAGATGTGCCGAATGGGCAGACTCAGATATAGCTGGAGAGGAACACAGCCCGACCTCCCTTATACTAACAACAAACCTCAACAAACGCAACAATGCAAACGTGGACCAATGGGGCTGGTTCGAACCGAGACATTGGCACATTCTCGACATGATGCGAAATAGATATATAGGCGGTGAAGTTCAGTCTCTAGCGAGACCGTTTTAAAACTCGGTCTCGTACCTTAATGTATTCCATTATAGCGGTGTGAATGAGCCAATATATTACCTATTGGCTGGGAGTGCTATTCTGAGCCAGTCCCTGAGAACTGATGCGGAGGCCGTTAAATACCGAAATCAGTTCGAGCAACATCTAGAAGTTTTGTTGATATCGTGCACTCTAAGTCGCCATAACACTTGTGCCTCCATCAGTTGTCAATCTCGCTCTGATTCTAATCTTCACGAACCCTGCACCAAGCCCCTGCAATGCCGGCCCACCTTCTATCACAGCAGCTGGCGCAAACAAGAGCGCCTCTCCAACTCTTAACTTCACAACCTCCCTAAACACCTTACCCGCAATGGTTGGTCTGCCTTTGGTCCTCACCGTGTCCCAATCGCCCTCCTCGCTGTCGACTAGGTCAGAAGCGACCCCTGCTAGGTGGCTCTTCAAACTATGCAGCCACTCGGGCGATGTGAAGCGATGCACGATAGTGACTGAGGATAAGTCTAGGAGCGCTGGCGAGATGGTGGGTTCCTGTGTTGAGATAATGATACGGACACCGAGGTGACGTTGTAATCGGACTGTGGAAAGAAGTGTGTTTGTGAAGGTTGATGCCTCAGCTGAGGTATTCATGTACTAACATCATTATTAGCACTACAAATTCTGAGTCGGCTGCACTCTCTAAGCTATGTATTGTTTACCTTATGTGCTTTATCCAGCGCAATGACTCGACCTACGGTCATGCTCTCCTCCAAGAAAATGCTCAAATAGATATTGAACAGGGAGCAAGCTCCTTCTGGGGTGACGCATGGGCAAGAGAGGTCAACGATGGTAAGGCAGCCCGGCTAGAAGTGTTAGGCTATGTATAACGTGGATGTATATTAATACGTACCACGGAAGTCCAATTGTTACCCTGCCTCTCGGATGCCTTAGCTTTGCCCTTCTTCTCTTTGCCTTTCCAATTAGCCTTCTCATCTGTCTGGCTAGATCCCGTTTGTGCTTGGGGCATGAAACTCTCCAGCGTGTCAAGGCGCTGTTTGAGAGGGCCCAGCTGGGAAGGAGTCAGGTCGGTTGCTAGGATGCGACGTTTAAACGTGCTATAATCGAAGGTAATTCCTCGCTCTTGCTGCTCCATGCGCATGTCTCGTAGAATGCGGTAGATGGTGTGCATGTAGAGAGGCACCGGCCCATCGTCATGGCTCACTGCCATTAGGTCTAGTATACGCTTAGTATTCAGATCACTTTGATTTATGCGTAGCGGCTCAATCTGGACATTCAAGGCATGGTAGGCTCGCTGCGGTCAATGTTAGCCGATGTATATGTCTGTTAGGGCAAGAGGAGCTTGCCTTGATGGTCCGCACATTGGTTGGGGAGCACAATACTCGTACGGTGATATTGGGGTTCGAGGATAGGAATGCAGCTTCACAAGGCGAGCCTCCGTCGTCAGAGATGAACGTATCATAGTGGAAAACAAGGCCAGTGAGCGGGTGGGGAAGCTTGCTCGCATCGGAAGGGAATAAACAGTTCTCTAGTAGGCAAGACAAGGTATGGCTCTTACCAGACCCTTGAGAACCGCAAATGAAAGTGCTCGACGGAGCTGAAATATTAAAGAAGACACGAGGGTCCTGGCCCTTCGATGGAAAGGGTACTTCCCTTACCGTGTCATCAATTAAGACATCAGACAAGCCACCGAGAAGGCCGTACTGTGGGAAGAGTTGCTCAGAATCTTCCGCCAAAACTCGCCCAACATGCTCGAGCACAGGCATTGTGAAGATAGGCGTTGTCGTGGCTTTATGGGCCTCCTGTTGTCTAGCTTCTCTTTTAAGAAGTTGTAGATGACGGGACCGTAGTCGTGTAGACTCGAATGCTTTTGTTCTTGTTAGTAATGCGTCTAATGACCCTTTACAGCTCGAAAAGGTTAAAGAACCACTATAGTTAGCGGAATCAGGCTTACTCTTCATTATTTCCGTTAGTATATTAGCTCTATAGTGTACAAACTAATAAGAATCTATCCGTTTAAATTCGTTTAGGGAACTTAAATAGGATTTGCCTTCGTTAGTGACCTCGAATTGTCCTCGAGAGTGTGTAGCGACTCGTACTATTAAGACTTGTTAAATGGCAGTCATTTCTGGCTCTTTTTACCTCCAGAAGTGTTCTAGCCACCGACCTGATCGACGGAGGCTGCTGGCCAGACCGATCAACACCGCAGTTGCGGTTGAAACATACCTTAATACCATCTAATTGTTCGCTAAAGATAGCCCGTCTTCGAAGCATGGCGGTGACTGAGAGACTCTGATCTAGGATCTTGGAGCTCAAGACGAGACAACCTTATTACCTCGAACACGGCCTATAGGGATGTAAGGTAGAGAGTAAATAGGTAGAGACCCGCTTATATTACCTTTAGATTGCTATACATCCTGGCGATCATCTATGGAATGTGCCTTAATATATGTAGTAGTCTCAAACACCATCTGCGTTGAGCTATACGCATGCTTGAAAGATTGGTATCGCGCTCGGCCACTGCTGCAGCTCTCGAGTGTGCGTTGGCGTGAAGAGTCAACTCACTTGAATATCTGGAGTCTTGAAACCGTGCGACTCTGTAGAATCCAGATGCTTCTAGCTAGGGAAGGAAGGAATCATGCTGGATAAAAGTTAAAAAGATGGGGTTTCGTCGCTACCTTACCAAATCCAAGCTTTTATCCCCCGCGATATTAAAGCTTAGTTGCAACTTTTAGCTCTCTCTCTAGATCGCCTGGTTTACGTGGATCTTCAAATGATGACACCCACTACTATAGCCGAGATTTCTCGCCTAGATCTCTAGGACCTCACCACTCCCCTTACGGCGTCAATCACTGACGTTACGCACCTGTCTTCGTACAACTGGATTGAGGCATGTACACCAACCATTGCCGTCCCGGGCAGTCCACCCCTTTGGTCCCCTCCAAGTGTTCCTCGACAGCTGAAAAAGGACTCCGGCCTCATCTACATCGCTCAGAATGCAGCTCGCCATCCAGACAGTCCGCTTGAACCCCTATTTCGTGCGTTGTGCATCGCAAATCCTTCATTTGACATCCGATCGATTGATGTCGTGACCGACCGGAACAATATACGTAAACTCCTCTCATTCATTAACCCCGCCATGACTAGAAATGGACTCGAAACATTTACTATCAAGATAGAGGTCACGAAAAACACCGCAATATTCTGTCGTGAGGAGACCGCTACCCACGAGTTTATCAAACCATACGAATTCAGGGGCTATGGTCACGAATTTGAGAAGGCATATACTACTAGCCAGATCAGTGCCAGCACTGGACATCATAGAATTATCTCATACCGCTTCAGCGATCTGAACTTCATTGTCCGCTATGAAACCGACGGCTATGTAGACACTGGTACAAGCATACCTGCTTCAAATAGCAATGAACCAGAAAACGACAGTCTCTCCAGCATGCTAGGATTCTTATCTCTATCCCCGCCCAACGGCCTTCCTAGTACCACTCCTGCCGTGTCCAAATTGACAGTTAAAGAAGAAGGCCAGATGGTACCGCTCGAATCAATTCTTGAAGTTAAAACACGCGTCTTCCACAACCCTCTGAAGATTCAAGACATCGTACCGCAGCTCTGGGTGTCTCAAACTCCTAAGCTTGTGCGAGCTTACCACCACAAGGGTACGTTCCAGTTACCAGAAGTTGAGGATGTAGCGGCTGAGATCACGAAATGGGAAGAAGCCAACCAGAGGGACCTCAGGAAATTGGCTGCACTGATTAAGAAAATTCTAAAAGTAGTGAAGGGATGTGATGGAAATGCTATAGTCAAATATGTCTCATTTGGTGGTATGGAAGGCCGACGGGAAAAAGATGCTGCCAAAGGACCTGTATTCCAAATGGGACTATTCCGAAGCGGAGTCTCATACGGGTCATAAGGTAAGAGCTGAGAATTCTATAAAGCCTATCAAAAAAGTGGAAGTCAAAGGTCTAGGAGACACGAAGGGCAAATATGAAGTGCAGGAACTTGCAAACGAGGAAGGTGGCCAACCCTTGGAAGTGGACCTTCGAAAAATTCCTAGCCTACAGTCCGCACGCACCTAAGAATAGGCTATGTGTTATTTTTACGAGTAGGAAAAACAGTCACGCGTTCATTCATTGGCAGCCATAGTATCAGTGCATAGCATGATAGATGCCGACTTCAAGGGCATGAGAATGAAGGGAGAACTGATATGTTAGATTTCTAGGCGCTTAGCTACTTCAGCTATCCACCTTACCAGCCACCGACGCAAAGGTATGGTTCAGTAAACCCTGGCAGCACACTCCTTCGTTCGTCCCCATCGACTATAAAGGCAGCTGTAACAACGTAATTATGCCAAATATAAAGGGTCTTTGAAGCCGCACACTCTATCCTGACTAGCACTGGTCTTAGCTACCAAGGAAGCTTCCCGTCCCTATACTCAATAAACGTTGGACAGAAGTATGGCAACATCAACGGTATTGGCTTTGCTTCATCTTTGCTCTTTCGGTTCTCTTCATCCAGCGAAGCAATAGATTTACCCTTCGATTTGATTAACTACGAGCATAAAGGCAGTGAAAGAATACTTCGTACCTGAAGATCATAAGTTCTGAAAGGCGGAATGCTCATCATATCCTCTCCGGTTTCCAATTTATAATATCCAGTTATAATCCACCCCTCGTATTGCATGCAGCGATGCCCAAATACGTTCCATCGGCCTGCGTTGACCGATTTGTATTCCTTGAATCTAGCCCGCATTCTGTTTACTTCTTCTAGCTTCTCAGAATTCTGGTTTCCAAGTCTTTTAATATTTTCCTCTTGAAGAGCCTCAAACCTTCGGAAAATCAAGTGATCAGGGTGTTGCATTCGAAATATGCCTAGCTTGAGAATTTCGAGAACCTCGGGAGGCTTGACATTATGAATAAATTTGCTCAATTCCGGGCCTAATATTTTAGTTTTGATAACGATGAGTGTTTCAGGACCATGAATATACCTGTTTTGTAATCTTCATGGTTCAGTGGCTCCCTCTCCAATATCCCGCTCTCTAATAACTCCCTCACTTCGCTCGCCATCTCTTTAGGAGCACTTCCTCCACCTAAATAATAATCTGAACAAGTTAGCGAGCGGCACTGAACCATGGAATGAAAAGGATAGAAGCCCTAAGCTCATACCGTAGTTATGTAATGCGGTGTAAATGTCAAGTGAGTGAACGTCTTTGTATTCAGAACCGGCTTGAAGGTCGACCCGCTGGAGAACAATCTCCGATACGGCTATCATGAAAAGTATTGCGAGACATTCTGCTGGGTTGGAGTCGATTGCCATTTTTATGAGGTATGTAACTGAGGGCAGACTTGGAATTCTGGTAAACTTTGGAGGTTGTCAAGTCGATCGCCCCAGCAATATCCTAAGGTAACGCCGTATACCAGCTGCATTACGCGCCTGTGGCTGCCGGGGCGGTTCGATCATTATTACATGTTCCTCCCTACGATCTGCTAGCGGCACCGCTATAGCCTTCCGCTTGCTACCTAAAACAATTCCGTACCCTATCTATAAGCGGCGACGATTTTAACGAATAGTAAAGAACCTAGACATACCTTGTAGGCATCGAACATGTACGGTATAGTCGGCGACAAACAAAACAGATGCTATTTGTCTGCTGCGTTGCTAGGTAAAACAATTCCGCGCCAAGCTCTAAGTAGGGTACGGGCGGCAACGATTTTGAATAGCAAAGGACTTAGAGCGCGGACATGCGGCTAGTATCGAGCGACTTGTTTATAGTCGGCGCTAAACGAAACGGATACTGTTTAGTGTCTCTACCGCGTGGAATAGCCCTTTCGTACAAGACAAGATTGTTACGTAGTCGTGCTAACAGCTTTCTTATACTAGACGACCTAAGTAAATAATTAGTCCGTATGTAGTGTAGGAGTTTCTAGAAACCGCGTGAGTTGTTACGGTTTTAAGGCATAGATATATGTATAAGCGCTCTGTAAGATCGTCTTCTAAACTACGGGATACGCCGATACAAAGGGCTACATAGACCATGTTCAAGTGTAGATCTTCTTAACTATTGTAGTGATCTCCTGAGTGGGAAATGCTATGGTGTAAGGTATGCTCGTCACGATGTATTTTATGACAAAAACACAGACTTGATGCGCCTACGGAACAATGATGATGCGGGGTAGAATGCGGGGTAAGATAGAGCTAGACAAACCTTAATTTAACCTGGGTCTGCTAATAATTTTTTTGGAATATCCTAGGAAAGGGAAATATGTAATAGCGGTGCTGTGGAGGTTGAAGAATATTAAAAAAAATTATATGCATAGCATAGATAGTATTAGGGCTATAATTTAGGACTCTACCGTTGCTATAGAGGCGAACTTGTGTTGGCAGCCTGCTCTATGTAACTAACGTATACTTGTATATAGCTTGGGCATATCTATAGGGTAGTCGTATAGACAGGGACTAAAATTCCAGCCACTTGTTGTTAGTGTATCCAATAAAGGCCATTCAGAGCTTTAAGGCACTTGTATCAATGCATGTCGAGGTAGAGTCAGATCATGTGCGTCGAAGTTCTGTCGTGGCTAGTACTGCTGTTCAGAAGTTTCTAACAGCCCAGGGGTAGGTTCATGGGTCGGCTCTATCCAGGGGATTCCTATTCCTCCGCCGCTATTTTGTCCACTGGAGGGACTTGAGTGGTACAGGCCGCGACTTTCCATCACACTCCAGTTATCTCCCATGCTCAAATAACAAGAGGAAAATTTCGTGGGGGCAGTTAATCACAGAGATCTATTTCTTCACTAGGCCACGAATATATATATCAGTTAGGATGGCTAGGAACTTAAATTTACATGCATATAGGCTTGTCATCCCCTTCACTAGCATATATTAGATCCCCGGAAAAAGTTCTTATGCAAAGAAATGGTAAAACGCAGGCATCCAAGTCGATATGAATGACTATCTACTTCTGGATCCAGGCACGGAGACTGTCCTCGTAGTTCCGCAAGGCGTCCAGCATTCTGTCTTTCTTTGCCTTGGCTACATCAGAAGCTTTCTTTGCAGCCTTCGACTCCCGTTCTATCTTCATCAAGTTGTCCAGAGCCGTCGCAATATTATCCACCACAACGTCTATGCACATCGAAACCCCTACGCGGCTACATCTATGATCAGTATTGCTGTCTTCTCGCGTGAAAGTATGGAAACATTACACCTTGATGCCGTCAACGATCTTCTCGCCCTTTTGCCCTACCGCTGTGAATCTAATTGCTAAATCCTATATCTCATCCGAAAACTTAGCCTTATCGCCGTCGTATAACTGTCTAGTATTAACCTGCTTGAGATTCTGTTCTCTAGGATTGAAAATAAGGAAGATAGTTGTACTCCTAAACTAGCAAACAAGCTGGAAGGGATTCCCGTCTGCACACTACGCAAGAGTGTTCTTACACCCCGAGGCCTAGAACATGGCAGGTTAGAAATTGCTCAGACACGTAGCGTGAGACCTACACATATATGGCGTCCTGCTGCCATCGTTACCAATATCTTATTCAAAGGCCCGGCGTGAGATGTTTCTGCAAGAAGTGAAATAGGATAGCAAGCAGAGTGGGGGTGGTCTCAACGAGCTATATATACGTTCAGCCCGTGCCATAGTACGCCAGGACGGCTGCCAATGGCGATAGGGTCTGTATATCAAGATGTGGAAGAGACGGCAAGCCATGAAACCCGAGAGAAGCTACGTGCCACCTAGGGAGGTGGTATTGTGCTGTAGGCACAGTGTTCTGCACTGGTTATCCCACATTGCTTAATGACCCGCAGGAGACTAATGCAATCCGAGCTCCATCTCTCGCAGTGGAAATAGTAGCGTGCATGTTACTCCAACAGCTGTGGTCGGCCCTCTAGTTTCTATAAAGTTTGCATCTGCGCATCGCAACTTGCGACCGTTCTCACTAACTCGAATGGAATAATAAGGCAATTGCGACCTGCCTCATCTTTTAACTATATCAATACTATCTGATCAATATGTAACTATACGATCAATGTGTAACTATACTAAAGTGGTGTACAGCTGCGGTGATCTCCGATTCAATGTTCGAGCGTGGTGCACGGAATATGAGACGACCCATAGACGCTGCCCTCTCAAGGTAGTAGCGATTGAGTATAGGTAGCACTCTTCCTCCTGATTGGAGAAGCATTGTAGAGACTGCTCTTATGCCTGAGTGCTATGTCAATTACTAGATTTGCCGTCACAAGTACTCACTATACTTCCTCTAGTTTCGTGAATTTGCTACTGTCTCAAAAGACGAGTATATCGTAGCTGTTTGGGATGCTATAGATATTGCCTGCTTTACAAATCTAGGCGGTCGTCACTAGCGTATAGAGTAGAGCTAGAGCTTTAGGCAAATTCTACAGAGATCCTTTTAAACGCGCAGCCATTTATACACACGCTCGAAGTTTATAGTACAGTCGAGAATTTACGGCACAAAAGTAGATAAGGACTTTAGTAGCGACTAGAGCCGTATCATGTATGTAACGAGGATAGTAACATTTTGTACTTAGGAATTAGAGTGATGTACAGTAAAGAAAGCGGCTATAATAAAGAACCTTATATAAAAAAGAGTGTTAAGGATAATATTTTAAAAAATTTTAATAGTCTTTAATTCTTCTATTCTGTCTTAATATCTTGCTTAGGTATCGTCAAAGCGTTTACGTTCTGTCGTAGTAAGACTTTAGAGTATATTTAGCCTATAGAGAGTTAGAAGTAGATTTTTAAGAGCAATTAACAAGTCGTACATAATAGAAAACCGAGATCGCTTTGCCTTAACCTCTTCTTGTTAGACTAGAGTAAGGCGACAACTATTGTATATAATAAGGCATATATACGATAAGGCGATCATTGTGTTATAAAGGCTGTAGACAGAGCTAAGCTTCTACTAAATATCTACGACTGTTATAAGGAGATTAGTAATAATAGGAATCTAGGTAAACAAGACAATTTTAAGGCACGTATTTAGTAATGTACCCTTGCCTAGGTCTGTTAGGAAACCGCTAGTTACTAACTTAGCCCGGTCTATTTAGCTGTCTACCGCCTCTTCTATAGCCCTTATAGTAATGTTATTTTCTAAGTGTATAGCGACTAGAAGCTAGAGCTATAATTAAAGACACTTATAAAAATATTCGAGAAGTAAGCAAGCGAATAAGAGGGCTATTTAAAGATACTACTACGCGTCCTGTAGCGCTAGAGACTAAAGCCTCTCGAAGAGGCTACTAAGGATATTCGGAAAGAGCTAACAAAGGAAACACTAGAGCGTAAAGACCTCGCTATAACAGAAAGGCCGATAGTAAAGACCGCTACTACTGCCTAGCTATACTATACGCTATATAGAGAGAAAAACCTTAAAATATATCTAGGAAGCTTGTATAACCGGCTTTAGATGCCTTCTCTAAGCGCTACGTACACGCTTAATGCCTCTCTAACTAACTATCTATAGCCGACGTATATTGTATTGTCGATTTCCTCTACTTGATTAGATTAGTAGTGTTGTCTCGGACGGTCTTAATAAAAGAATGTGTTAGTACTACCGGAGAATTAATTTAAAGGGCGTGACAGACACCTTACTTGCTTTTATCTCGGTTTGTAGCGCCCTATTAGCTGCCGGCTACCGCTATACTATTAATCGCGGAAATCTATATATAGCTATAAGGATTTTAGTATAAGGATTTGATTTATAAAACAAGAGAGGTACATTATTATCCCTTTATATTCCTTAGTCTCCTTACGTCGTTTTGTATACTGTCTAGACCTAAATCTCTAGGCTAACTTTAAAATAGTACCTTAAAGCTTACCTAGTACTTCCTTAGATCCTAATATAAAACACTGTTTATTGTTATAGAACCGTAAAGTAGACTCTAGTAGGCTTGTGCTATGTTGCTTATCTAGATACTAAATTTAGTACCGGAGGTCGAAATAGTTAACGTCTAAAAGTAGTGTAGGAGCCGTTAGGATGTCTAAGGGTATAGACTAAAGACGGTGATTAGATATATAGCTAGAGCTACTAGTAAGTATAGGAGAGGTACACTATAAGCTCCTGGCTGTACTATTAGGAAAGGGCAAAGTCTAAGGGACCCTAAAGGGCAAAGCGCACAAAGTAATAGGAAAGACTAAGCTATCTACCGGTAGAAGAGGGAAGCTACATGTCTATATATACCTAACTACCCTAACATATTCTTCTACTACGCTAATGTGTGTACAGCTTAATGTAGTAGACTGTAGCTACGAGCGGTCTAGCCGGAGATGGCTTGTATGTAAGAAGTCACTGGTCAGCCCTAGTTTGACATGGCCAAGTTCCTGCACAGATCACGCTGTAAAAGGACAAGTGCAGCTCCGCTATACAATGCGCTTTGTACAGAGGAATATTAATTCAACGTATTGTTTATTTACTATACAAAGCAGGCAAGATGTATGAACAAGCTTGCCTCTGAAACGTACTATGATACAGTTTCGAGCATATTCTCCGCTAGTGGATTGTACAATTGTAGTGGTTGAAGTCAAGGTTTCCGAGCCTACACGGCATAACTATGGATCATGAGTATGATTTGGTATATCCTGGTGATTGACTTACAACTTGTTATACTGAGTAATGTACTTCTCATTTCTCAGGAGCTCATTTCGTACGTGGGCAAGATACACTTCAATTTCTTGAAGGGTCCACTGTAATTGATTTAGTTGTGAAACCGGTCCAGGGATATATCAAAATACCGTACCCCTAATACGTTCGAAAAGCGCCTCGCAGATAGATCAAAAAGTCCTCGGCACAGTCTGTCTAGATTTAGCTGGCCAATTTTGGTGTCTCTGCCGACTAGAACAGCAATTTCCTCCACTTTAACCTCAATAAATCCGGCCGCCTCTAACCACTCGGCCAGCTTAGAGCTTACATCAAAGGTCATGCCCATCTCCTCGCCAGTATCAATTAATAAATTGGCCCACTCACATAGTAGTTGGTTTGGAATACAAAATGATGAGAAACCAATATCGGATCCGGAAAACTCAACCAATCCATTTGGCTTGAGCGCCCTATTGACGCATTAGCAGGAATTTTATAATTCAGGATGGACGCTAACTTGTAACATTTGCCAATTAGCCCAGGCCAGTCCTGGATACTACCAGAAAGCCCTCGCCCGTGTACATAGTCGTATATCTCCTCGTCTTCTTTGTAGTCTTCCGAATTTATGTCTTCAATCAGGAACCAGGCGTTGGGGGCTTCGTTCGGGGTTTCGTCGAGCCACATTGGCGAATTATCGAGACCGACAACTTGGGACCACGGACAGATGTCCGCAATCTCACTGAAGCTAAATTAGTACTGTAAAGAGGCCCAAGGAAGGAGAACGGATGCATACTTAGCCCAAGCTCCCGTACCAGTGCCCAAGTCAAGAATGAGCTGCGAGATGCTTAGCCTTTGGGATTTATGCAGAGGAAGTGGTATACCTGAGTATTGTATCCAAGGGGTGCGCTACACAGCCTTCCATCGTAAGCTACTTTCTAAACTTGATGACTGCGATATAAGCATCAAAAGACCGATTCCAATATTCGTTTGGAGGCTACGTACACCATGTTCTGCACTTCCTTAGCCAGCCCATCATTAGGTGCCCAATCCTCCTTGCAGCCTGCAAAGAATTAGCCAATTCCAGGAATGCTTTTAGCAGGCAGCGTACCATAGCCGTGATATGTTCTACCGAGTTCTTCGATAGCGAGTATCAAGGGAGGGTCAACCACATCGGCTTCGCAGCCATAATCATTGATATCGCACGCTAAGTCAACTTCGTGTCTGTCCGACGTGTAATAATCCTACACGTCATTAGTGCTTATACTGGAAGTTTCAGTCGGGATACTTGCCGAAGCATTGTCATAGTCAGTCCCCCAAATCTCATGATTTGGGAGCGGAAGGGGGCTTGAGTACGCAAGGTGCGGAACATAGCCTGTGTCTGTCAGTAGAGTAACACGCAGAGTGAAAGCGACTTGCCGTCAAACGCGTTTGCGGGTGGGAAGACCCGAATTATCATCGTGATACCGAGGCCAATCGAATCGACGTGGCCGGAGAGAACAGAAGTAAGGCAAACTTGGAGGTAGGGCAGACCGTAAGGTGAACATGGCCCTAGACTCCTTAAGTATCCCGACCAGGTCTACGCGTGTATCGAGATCTGCTCTGCCGGGAATGGATCCGCGTCTGGCCCGGTCTCAGGGGATCATCAGTAAGGTAGGAGTGGAGCAGCTGTTGGAAGTGGGCTCATCAAATGATCCGTCTGGGTCGGGTCGTTTGTCCTCCATGTGAGGTCGAGAGTGGTATCGCCCTGGATTTGAGCCCCCGATTGAGCAGAAGACGATAATTCCGCTGCACTATTGGACGTGTCGATACGGACTGGCGGATATTTCGAATTTGAGTATGTCAAATCACCAGTTTGTGGATAATAATGAAAGGATGTTGCCTTCTTAGATCCTTTCAGGTTTCCCTTGCCCAGGACGCCTGAAATGTGAGTGGGATCCTCGGTGCCATCGACATATTTGGTGGCATGCGGATCCCTACTGTAGGTTGCATGAAGTTAAAAGACGACACAAACATTGTCGAGAAGGAAATTTAATAAGGGGATAATACTGGGATTTATTATCTCGTACTTCACAGGCACTGGAGACTTGCCTTCGATCATGCTACCAGTCCAACTTCCATGCTCTATATCCTTTATTATGACTTCATCGCGTTCAGATGACGCTACTTCAGATCCTTCTTTAGAATAATTATAGCTGATACATTAGTCTTCCTCGTGCTCTGATTCTTCACTGTCATCTGTCGACCACGACGACCCCCATTATCTGTAGTAAGACCTGTCATGTTCTGCTGAGCTGCAGCTCGTAGGAAGCACCCAAAGATCCTTTGCCCATGGATTTGAACTATTCATATCGGTAGTGACGAGTCACGGTCGTAATTTCATGGTCAGGTAAGAAGGTCCTAACGAGACGATGCCCGATTTGTAGAGTCCGAGAGGCGGTATAAGTTTTGAGGGGTTTGCATGCAGCTAATGATATGTGCAGGGGTATAATTTGGTCAAATTAGTCACTGACACAAAAGCCCTTCATATAAGTGCTTGCTGTCACCCTCATATCGTTCAGTCACACTGGTACAGTAAGTAGACCTCTCGAATCTACACCGACTGCCCCTTTCCCACGGGGTTACTTTCCTCCTATAATTTCTATTACATCAATCTAGAACTCTATAGCAACCTCAGCAGCAACGATGACAATCATCCTGACACGCCGCGTCGTCCTCCGCAACCATCCAATAGCAGCGGAAGTCGTCCGTCCACGAAATCAACAGCACAAGCTGGCCAATGCAGTGGGCAAAAGGGGGCTCACGGCAGCACCCATTGTCAGAGGAACCTAGGTCAATTTTGTACGCCGCAGTGCTTGATGGGTATTATCTAAGGAGGAGCACTGAACCAGAAATGCCCCAACGTCAGGGAACATGGAAAAGCTTATCATCTCAACCGTGAAACCTTCATGCAACTAATTCGCCAGTTATTCCTCGATCAGCTTCATTATTATGAAGAAATGAACGTCCATGGAGCTAGAGGAGCTCTATTCAAAGCTAAGTTGCCCAAATTTGGCTATACTGTTCTTGCAAAAGGTACAGGGGTTGAGTGTGTTAAAGATCTGCTCCACGAGTTGACAACGTACTCTCGCCTTCTTCCCATGCAAGGCAAGTGCGTGCCTGTTTACCTGGGTGATACCTCAATAACCAGCATGTGGGGGAAAAAAAAAGGGGGGG